TCAGCACTGCACACATGCCTGGCAAATGGTGAGAACACCCGCGCACGCGCACCCGCTCAGCACTGCACACATGCCAGGCAAATGGTAAGAACACCCGTCCACGCGCACCCGCTCAGCACTGCACACATGCCAGGCAAATGGTAAGAACACCCGCTCACGCGCACCCGCTCCGACTGCAGACATGCCAGGCAAATGGTAAGACCACCCGCTCACGCGCACCTGCTCAGCACTGCACACACGCCTGCCAAGTGGTAAGAACACCCATTCACGCGCCCGCTCAGCACTGCACACATGCCAGGCAAATGGTAAGAACACCCGCTCACGCGCACCCGCTCAGCACTGCACACATGCCAGGCAAATGGTTAAGAACACCCGTCAACAGCGCACCCCGCTCAGCACTTGCACACATGCCAGGCAAATGGTAAAGAAAACCAGTCCCACCATGCGCACTAGTCTCCGCTCAGCACTTCACCATGCCAGGCAAATGGCAAGAACACCCGCTCACGCGCACCCGCTCAGCAAACCGCTCACATGCCAGGCAAAAGGTAAGAACAACGCTCACGCGCACCCGCTCAGCACTGCACACATGCCAGGCAAATGGTAAGAACACCCGCTCACGTGCACCCGCTCAGCACTGCACACATGCCAGGCAAATGGTAAGAACACCCGTCCACGCGCACCCGCTCAGCACTGCACACATGCCTGCCAAATTGTAAGAACACCCGCTCACGCTCACCCGCTCAGCACTGCACACATGCCAGCCAACTGGCAAGAACACCCGCTCAGATGCATCATTCTGCACTGCGCCTTTGAAAACTTTCCACGGCGAGGCACAAGTTTGTTTCTGCGTTTCGTTGTTTTGAGCCATAACCCTTCTGAAAAAAGAAAAATTGACAGTTCTGCGTTTTGGAAGCAAGGGCCTTGGAAAACGCGCCGCCTTCCACGGCGGCGAAAGATGCGGATGCCTTGTTGTTGTTGTTGTTGTTGTTGTTGTTGTTGTTGTTGTTGTTGTTGTTGTTGTTGTTGTCACAATCGTCGTTCTTGTCCTCAGCGTCGTCGTTGCCTGCGGCTGCTGCTGCTGCTGCTGCTGCTGCTGCTGCTGCTGCTGCCTTTTGGGCAGCCTCCCTTGCACACGCTAGGCGAGAAACCTGAGTGGCAGAACATGCGGGCGATGGAGGCACAGATCCAGAAGTTGATGGAAAGGACGGGCCAGGAGGCTCAGATTCGGGCCGAAAAAGACCTGGAGCAGCGAGTTCTAGCACGTGTGGACACAGCCGTGGAGAAGATCTTGAAGGCACAAGGGCTGCTGCCTTCACAGGTCAGCTGACTCATTTTTGTTGCCCGCCCACAAAGAAAAAGAGCACAACTTGCGTCTGAGTTCGCGGCAGGACCGCCTGGACGGCGAGGTTGTGGGTCGTTTGGCCAGCGTGGAGACGGAGCTGGCGGAGCAGGCGATCGTGGCCTCGGCGGCGAACGGCCACCTGGAAGTTGGGCTGGCGGCGGCTCGCATGGAGCTCCAAAACCTCCGCGCCTTCTGTGGGGATCAGCTGGCTGTCGTGGGGAGTCTTGACTTCGGCTTGGAGCGCGTTGCCGAGTTGGCGTGCAGCGTCCAGGCCGCTGAGGCTGAGGCTGCAGAGCTCCGGGCCAAAGTGGACGCTCTTGAGGCGGAGGCGACAGAGCAGACCATCACGGCCTCCGCTCTCAATGGCCACCTCGAGTGCGGGCTAGCTGCGGCCCAGCAGGACCGGCAAAAGCGCCAAAACGTTCATGGCCGCCTCGCTTACGAGTTCATGGTTTTGTTTTGGGATCCGAGCAGGGAACCGTTTTTGTGTTTTTTACTAGCCCCGGCTCGGGACTTAACCCCGGCTCGGAGACTGGTTGGTTGGTTGGTTGGTTGGTTGGTCAGCTGGGCGGCCGCATCCCCAGCATCCCAAGCATTTCCGGTTTCTTGTCACGGCTGCGTATGGGGCATGACTTGATGCTCGGGATAGCCAGCCGCATCGCCAGGATTACTGGCTTCACTCGTCCGAGTGAGGCCAGTAATCCTGGCGATGCGGCTGGCTATCCCGAGCATCAAGTCATGCCCCATACGCAGCCGTGACAAGAAGCCGGTAATGCTGGCGATGCGGCCACCAACCCCCAGCCCAACCTCTTGGCTAGTAAAAAGCCGGGGCTAGTAAAAAAAAAAACACCTCAACCATCCGAGCAGTTGTAGGCAAGCTATGCCGTAGGGGCAGTGCAAAGGGCACAACCTCTGTAGGAGCTGCGCACGCTTCGAACCACCATGTCAGACCAATACAGCACCCTGAGCTCCAGAGTGGATCAGACGGCGCATGCCTCGCGTGTGTGGTCAGATGGCTTCAAGACGCACGAGTTGGGCAGCGCCAAGTTCACGAAGAGCGCTTTGCTGAAGCCTCGGGAGCTCAGCTCCAAGTCGCTCCCACAGCTTCAGCTCCGGCCAACTCTGATCTGAGCTCCGGCTGTCGGCCTGGTTCACCCAAAGGGGATGCCCGAGCTTCTGGCTTTCCCTGGCACTGGACTGCCTTCGTACCCAAAAAGGCGTTGTGATACGCGTCTGGAAATTGCAGCTCTCCCTCTATTTTGATGTGCTGCCAGGTGCTGGGCTGCTTCCATGAATTGGTGAGCTCTTTGTTTCACACGAGCCATGCCAATGTGCACGGACAGCCAGCAACATGAGTCACACTTCTCAGGTTTGCATTGCATGTGTTTGTTGTCAGCTGATGTTTGCTGCCACTTCACCACGGCTCAAGTCGGTACGTTCTAGCCTCTAGGCCCTTCATCCGTCAGGATGCCACGTTCTACCTTCGTATCCCTGGTGCTGATGCTCCTGGCCGTAGGTGGCACCGCTGAGAGCGGCACGTACGATGCAGAGCCAGAGTGGCGAGAATCCTTATGGCAGGATTTGCAGCTGCTGTTGTCCTTCATCATGGGCGTTCTGTTCATGAGCTCAGCCGAGAAGATCTTTGATACCGGTGATACAGCGACCAACGCCAGCAACTCGAGGCTCACCAAGCTGGAGTTGTACCCGCTGCTAGCATGACCGAGGAAATGTGGCTGCCAGTGTCCAGGGCAAAAGGGAGAAGTCCGTTGAATTTGTCATGGTTACTCGATTGTTTTGCAGAAGCTGCCCCTGCGAAACACAGAGGAACACACACAATCCGATGCAACCAAATCCAAGAAGCACACGGGCGGGGAGCTGGTATTTTGGGGGGGGCGCATTGGGTGTGCACACGCACACCAAACAGCCAGTGCCAGCACCAGGCCCTGGTAGACACAAAAAACAAATCAGGTTCAGTTTCTCCTGCGTGACGCTATTCTGAGTAGCACCCGTACGATGTGGCGAAATTCGAATGCGTGTACTGTTGGTGCCCTCACATGTCGGCTTGCGTGTTTGTTGTCAGCTGATGTTTGCTGCCACTTCACCACGGCTCAAGTCGGTACGTTCTAGCCTCTAGGCCCTTCATCCGTCAGGATGCCACGTTCTACCTTCGTATCCCTGGTGCTGATGCTCCTGGCCGTAGGTGGCACCGCTGAGAGCGGCACGTACGATGCAGAGCCGGAGTGGCGAGAATCCTTATGGCAGGATTTGCAGCTGCTGTTGTCCTTCATCATGGGCGTTCTGTTCATGAGCTCAGCCGAGAAGATCTTTGATACCGGTGATAGAGCGACCAACGCCAGCAACTCGAGGCTCACCAAGCTGGAGTTGTACCCGCTGCTAGCATGACCGAGGAAATGTGGCTGCCAGTGTCCAGGGCAAAAGGGAGAAGTCCGTTGAATTTGTCATGGTTACTCGATTGTTTTGCAGAAGCTGCCCCTGCGAAACACAGAGGAACACACACAATCCGATGCAACCAAATCCAAGAAGCACACGGGCGGGGAGCTGGTATTTTGGGGGGGGCGCATTGGGTGTGCACACGCACACCAAACAGCCAGTGCCAGCACCAGGCCCTGGTAGACACAAAAAAACAAATCAGGTTCAGTTTCTCCTGCGTGACGCTATTCTGAGTAGCACCCGTACGATGTGGCGAAATTCGAATGCGTGTACTGTTGGTGCCCTCACATGTCGGCTTGCGTGTTTGTTGTCAGCTGATGTTTGCTGCCACTTCACCACGGCTCAAGTCGGTACGTTCTAGCCTCTAGGCCCTTCATCCGTCAGGATGCCACGTTCTACCTTCGTATCCCTGGTGCTGATGCTCCTGGCCGTAGGTGGCACCGCTGAGAGCGGCACGTACGATGCAGAGCCGGAGTGGCGAGAATCCTTATGGCAGGATTTGCAGCTGCTGTTGTCCTTCATCATGGGCGTTCTGTTCATGAGCTCAGCCGAGAAGATCTTTGATACCGGTGATAGAGCGACCAACGCCAGCAACTCGAGGCTCACCAAGCTGGAGTTGTACCCGCTGCTAGCATGACCGAGGAAATGTGGCTGCCAGTGTCCAGAGCAAAAAGGGCACTGAGCAGGCCTTGCGACTGATGACCACTGAGAAGTCCATTGATTGTTACTGGTTTCTCCATTGTTTTGGTTAACGCTTGTGTTTTTTAAAGGGCAACATCCAGCGGTGACGTATTTGATGTGAACAAACCAACCATACATCTGACAGACGTACAGCTGTGCAGCTGTCAAGACCATCGATCTCGAGTTGCGTGAGTGGCCTTTTTGGCTCAGCTGATCCTTACGCCTACATTCCTCCTGCCATGGAGTTCCTCGACAATTTTGGATGTCGCATCCATTCGGGCTGTCGAACTGGCGACCGGCCCTGCGCCTTCTTCTGTCCCAAGTTGGGTTTCTGCGACCAGGGTGCCCACAAATGTTACCACGTGCATGCGCCAAAAGCACAGCGGCGACCTTCTTGCTTGGCTATGGTATGTCCGGCAGACCTCCGGCATCGTGAGCGGACGTTGCTCACGAGCTTGGAGGCGCAATGTCTTTACGCGGCCACCGCCGGTGGCCAACAAAGGACGCTGTCCAGCGTGGCCAAGGAAGAGCTAACTTACGTTCGCTGGCGCCCAGCCCTCTGCATTGGTTCCAGCGCAGGTCCTCGAAGTGGCGCCCAACACCCTGACCATGCAGCAGGGCATTTAGGCGGTCCAGGTGCACTCCGCGAAGACCGTCGAGGGCCGAGCCGGGTGCTTGTGGCTACCTGCTATCCCTATCCCTATTCATGTTTTCAATTCGCTGCCGTGGCAAACTCTACGTTGACTCGGAAGATAGGGTCCCCATTTTGTTGGGTGGCCGAAGTCGACATTGCGAAGGCCACGAAGCTTAAAAATGCGATGACCGTTCTACAAGCCGCACGAAACCCAAAATAGCCGCGAAGAAACTTGAAGCCGAGAATGCCCCGAAGACAGAATTCAAAGCCGAAACTGGCGAAGACGATTCTCAGGGCGAACTTGAAAATGCTGGCAAAGAGCCGAAGTGTGCGAAGACGATAGCCGCAAAGGCCCTCGAATACGAAACTCGGCTCCGCAGCGTGCGAAGACAAATTGGGGCGAAGCTGAAAATGCCCGCGAAGACGAAATTCGAAGCCAGCAACAAGCTCATCTGGGGCCTTTCGGTGAATTGAGTTAAACAACCCATGCTCTGTTTCACTTTGCACGCGGCGCCGTCTAGCTAACCAACCGGTTAACTTGGCCAGGAACCAACGGATCCTTGCAAATCAGGAGCCAATGTCCCCAGCCCTGCGTTTGTGCAAGAAATGAAAAGCCAGGATCTGCTTGGTTTTCTCGAGGTTTTCGTAAGGGAACTTAGAATAGCCAGAAAAAACTTGAGGAAAAAGCAAAAACACCTTGAGAAATACTTGTCTCCGAGCAACCCCCACCCTCCACACTCACGAGCTTACGACCGTGAACACGGTTGCGTGAATTCAAGCATGGTTTTCGAGTGGCTTGGGGCCTATGACTGCTCAACAAGCTTTGCATTGAGAGCCTTGTCCACCTGTCTGTGTGTCAAACTCCACTGGTCTGCGAGCCGATCTTGGGAACTCAAACATCGGTTCCGTTAACAAAAGCCAAGCCCCTTCCAAAAAGAAACCCGACGGGGGATTAAACGAAGTTGCTTCTTCGCAGCCCAAAGCCATTACCACTCAAAACACGAAGGCACCAACAGGAAATGTAAAACCAACTGTGCGCCGGGCGGGACATTAAGCAAAACCAGACTGGCGAGCTGCTCTGGCGGGATACTGGCGGGATCCACTGGCGAATGCTGGCGAGCCGCTCCGGCTCGATACTGGCCGGATACTCAGCAGGATCCACCGGCAAGGGGCGGGATTCAGTGGCGAGCTACTCTGGGATACTCAGCGGGATGCTCGGCGGGGAACTGCAGCCGAATTCGATTCAAATGAACTCTTGTCTTTCCTTCCCATGTCATCCAGAATATAGCTAAAATCTATTTAAGATCCTAGATGAATGGAAAGGAAATCCTATCTAAATCCTGATTCAAAACAATAAATATAATTGAATCAGTTAGAAGAAACTACCGGCTTGTCTTTCCTTATTAAGTTCTCGTTCTACACAAGTCAAATGAAACATCATATTCGGATATAAACTCCCATTTAGATCGGGAAGGAATTCCTGTTTAAAATATACTTAGAAATAGTATCGCGACTTAGCGGTCGAGTCGGTGCACAGCTGAGCAGCGGTGCAGCAGCCCGATTTCCAGGCGCCTCACCTGAAAGGCCGGGCGAGGTCCGCAGCAGTGCAAACCGCGGACCTGGTGGACTGTACAAAGTCCGCTGAGGCCCCTACCCAAATGCCCTGTTGGGGAGGGTGGACTCCACAGCTCAAAATGTTGATGCGCTCAACAAAAATCCTTGGCGCACGAAAATGATTGAAAGCGATCGTGTACAGGCGCTTCACCAGTTTGACTTGGCTGGCGACAGTCGTGAGACCGAACGAACATTGCTTGGCCGAAAGAGGTACCCAGTTGTCCTTTCCGCTGCCGGGGACTGGAAAAGAAACACCGCTTCTGATCAAGGTAATCGTGAGCTCAAGCCAACTGATGGCACGTGCAGCGTCTGGGTCTGCATCATGGCTCAAAAGCCATTCCAGTGCGGATTTACAGAAGCATGCAGGAATCCCTCCGAGGGGAAGCGCCCCATCCTGATGAGGATGAACTTGAAATCATCCCCGGTGGGGACGTACAGCAAAGAGCAAGAAATGACATCATCGCCAATTACATCCCCGTCGATTGGGAGCTGCACATCGGGCAAGTTTGGAGGTTGGTCTGGGCGATGCTGAAGTACAAGGCCCGCAGCTCTCGGCTTAACCTGGCGTACTTGTTCACATGAAGTTTTGCAGCTGCGAGAGTATCTGTAAACTGCAAAGATCAGCGACACCTGCGGCTGCATCGGCTTTTGCGTTCGATTCCTCAAAAGGATCATCACATTCATGTACAAGAACATGCGATTGAACATGTCTGACGGTTGTCTCGTCCGTGCAGGTCAAGGCTACCGGCCAGAATTTCCTGGTGCCCTTGACACACATAGCTGCTATCCGTCCAGATAATGGTGGGCTGCTGAAAAAGTCGCACCCACGGGCATGCTGAACAGAAAGCCGACAGTTCGGCTCGGTTTATAGTCTGGGGGAAACCGACAAGGGGTCCCGAAGAAATGCAGACTGTCGCCGAAACAACGGCCCAAGCTGCTACGGGAAAGCCTTCGCAATTGGTCTTGCAAGATTCGTCAGTAAAAAGGTGCTGAAGTTGACCCTCTGCAGGGCGAGGTCCCTCAAAGCGGCCGGCAAGATCAGGCACTTGGGACAAGCAGATGATTGGTGAAGCAGGCTGGGAGAGAGTCCCAAAGGCGAGTAACCTCTGAAGCGTGCGAGCGGGCAAGTTGGTGTGTGGGACAGTACCGACACTGATGCTCGTAGGTATCAGGCACGTGTCGTAGTGAGCGTGCTGGACTCGACTACGGAAAGAGCCATCCTGGATGGCCGAGAGCATGGCTTTCTTGTGAGGAGTCAGCCTTGGGTAGTCCAGTCGGCAGAGAGGCAAGTCAATACCTTGCAGCCCATGCGTGGAAGGGCGCCGAAGTTGCTTTGCCAGCGCCTGTGGGCCCAGCCCGGCCCAGCCGTCCTTGAGTAGTTGCAAAGATCCCTAACCAATTTATGGGGTCTAGATTCATGGGGTCTAGATTTGGGGGGTTTTTGGCTATCTCGAATTATCTCGAATTATCTCGAATTATCTCGAAGAGGTAGGTCAGGTTGAAAGCAACTTGCATTTTTGAAATTTGGTGTTGCATTTTTGTTGTTTTTTTGACATGTGTGTGTTCAGGAATGCCGTTCTGTACTATCTCGAGGATGTAGGCGAGGTTGAAGGCAACTTGCTTTTTTTGGCATTTGGTTTTGCATTTGTTGTTGTTTTCACATGTGTGTGTGTTCAGGAGTGCCGTGCATTATGTTTTGACAAACAACGCAAACAACACAAAAAACAAACAACAAACAACTAACAACTAACAACACAAAACAAACAACACACAACAAACAACAAACAACAAACAGCAAACAACAAACAGCAAACAACAAACAACAAACAACAAACACAACACACACACGACTACCACAACAAACGCAACAAACACAACAAACACAACACACACACACAACAAACGCAACAACAGCAACAGCAACAACACCACCACCACCACCACCAACAACAACAACAACAACAACAGCAGCAGTTGTAGTTGTAGTTGTAGTTATAGTTGTAGTCGCAATCGTAGTTGTAGTCGTCGTTTCTTGTAGTTGCACTTGCAACTGTAGTTGTAGTCGCAGTTGTAGTTGTAGCGGCGGTGGCTGTTGTAGATGCAGTTGTTGTTGTAGTGGTAATAGTTGTTGTTTTTGCGTGTTGTTAGTTGTTTGCTGGGTGCTGATTGTTGTCTGTTGTTTGTCGTTTGTTGTTAGTTGTTTGATGTTGTTTGTTGCTGTTGCTTTTGCTGCTGCTGCTGCTGCTGCAACTACAACTACAACTGCAACTACAACTACAACCACAGCTACAACTACAACTACAACTGCAACTACAAGTGGAATCCCCGCTACAACTAAAACTACAACTGCAACTACAACTGCAACTGCAACTACAACGACAACTACAACGACAACTACAAGTACAACTGCAACTACAACTGCAACTACAACTGCAACTACAACTACACCACCACCACAAAACAAACGAACAAATAAACAGACAGACAAACAAACAACAAACACCAAACAACAAACAACAAACAACAACCTCCAAACAACACACAACAAACAACAGCAAACACCAAACAACAAACAACAAACACAAACATACCAACAACCAACAACAGTAGTGCATGGGCACACGCGCGGCCTTTGGGGGGGGGGTCGGCCATTTTTGGGCGGTCGCTTTCGAGCCTCACGCGTATGCGCTAGAATGAACAACGACCTC